GCAAGGCGCTGGGTTCTTGCAGGTGTGGATGTGGTCTGGATGTTGTCCTGTGTCCTGTGGTCTCTATTTTAGGAAGATTTTTCTTTGTTATATTTTCATAGCTCTATGTGTTTTTGGGAGGAGATTTCCACTGCTCTACTCACGCCGCCATCCTCTTGCTCTGTCTTTTTTTAATCGGCCTAATTTATTTAAATGGATTTAAAAGATAGTGCTTTCAAGCATTCTTGTCAAATAGCACCTTTGGAAATCCTTCCCAAACCTCCCAAACATGTATTAGGTTTCAATGCTCTGTGCTCCCCAAATATTCTACACTTACCTTTACGTTAGCTCTTAATGTACTGAATCATAACTGAGAGTTTAAGTATTAGACTGAGCTTGAGGCGTGGGTCTTAGTGTTGTATCTCAGCACCTAGCCTACTCATCTGTTTGGTGAGTGAATGTTTAGTGGGAGTTTAGAAATACAAGTCAAAATGCAGCTGAACTGAAAGTCCGTATTTGTGAAACTGTAAAATGATCTTGTTTTAGAGCTACTTAAAAACCATCAAGGGACCCACTTTTCAGACTCTCAAAGATGAGTTACCACTTGATTAAATTACTTGTGAAGAGTTTGGTGTATTATTCAGGACCCTTGACTAGTCTTTAATCTTATATGAGAGAGTACTTAGTTTTTTTTGAATTTTGACTAGAAGTGGGTTTTTTTTGTTTGTTTGTTTTGTTTTTCTTTTCTATGCTGCTGTCCCAGGCCATTATTCATTAAGTGTTTCCAATCTTTGCTCTTAAGTGGAACTTAAGAAATCTCGTGGGTGCATAAGAAGCTATGTCCCGTCTGGTCTCTGGTATAGTCAGTTTGTTTTTGAAATGAAATATTTATCTGGAAGTCTAAAAAGAACTTCAATATGTCCAAACTCTTCTTCCATTTCCCCTACATGGTTATCTACATGGTATTCCCCTATGGTTATCTGTCTAACCATAATCTGGAAATTTTGGGGTCATCTGTGATACCTTCATCTCCTTCATTCCCTTATTGGTTCATCACCCAGTCTGGACCACTTTGAATACTCCAGGTCTCTCAAATTCAGCCACTTTCCCAACATTTCCCCTGTTAACTACTGCAGACCACACTATAATCATGTCTTGCCTGAAGCATTGCAATAACTTACATCCCTGTACCCACTCTTGGTCCCTTCCAATCTATTCGTGGTCAAACAGCAAGAATTACCCTTTTCTATCTCAAAATTGATAATTAATTTACAGAGTGGAGATGTGGGTGTGGTTATAAAAGGGCAACAAGAGAAAATCCTGCAGTGATGAAACTGTATTTTATGTGCATGCTGACATCCTGATTGTGATGCCGTGCTACAGTTTGGCAGTGGTTACTAATGTTAGCAATAGGGGAAAGTGAATAAAGGGTACATGGGATCTCTATGTATTATTTCTTACAACTGCATGTGAAGCCACAGTTATCTCATATTTGTAATATCTGTAATAAAGTTTCAGTTACAAAAACCACTGTTATCCTGTTTAAAACTAAGTGCTTTATCCTTTTTAAAACTAAGGAAAAGGATAGTGTTTATCTTTCCTTTTAAGATAAACACTAAAGTCCTCTTTATGGTCTTCTGCGACTTGGCATCACCTGTGTCCAGCCTTGTTTATTCAGCACCAGTTCCTGCTACCTGACTGTCCCAGACACACCTCCCGTCACTGTCTTTAACATGCCAGGTTCTTTATTTACAGTCTTCTTACTCACTTCCTTCTGCCCAAAATATTATTCTTTTGGTTAATTCCTACTCATCCTTTGTATATCAGCTTCATTTTATTTCTTAAAGAGAAGCCTTTCCTGATTGTCCAGACTCAGATTTCTTCTGTTAAGAGCTCATGAAATAACTAGTATGTTGCCTTTATAGCAGTCATTACAGTTTGTGTACATTCATATTTGTGTAGTTCCTTAATTTGTATCTGTCTCTTTCACTAGACTGCATGGGGACAGAGTCTGTGTCTTTAGCCCCAGCATCTAATACAGTGAGTAATGGGAGCATGTAAGACATTAAAGGCCCTGTCTTTCTCTCTCAGCCCTTATTCTCTCTTACTGGCATCTAAGAAACACCTTAGATATTCAGACCAGAAGAATAGGTCCCAATCTAGATATGTTGTTCTTTTCTTAGATTGCCTAAAAATAAACTTTCAGGTCACAGAAGCATTGATTGGAAGAGGGATAGCATATGGTTGAGCACAGTGAGTATTCTTAATCCTGATGACCGAATCTACCAATGAGCCATCTCAGGCCCTAGTCTACCTATGTCTGGAAATGGCCAGCCTTGGATTTGTTGAGTAGGTGGACTTCATTTAGAGCTAAAATTCATTGGCTTTCTGAAGGGTCATGGCTTTTGTCACTGGCCTGGCAGAATTCTGTGTTGACATACTGAGTATTGGCCTACGAGAGTAAGGCCCAGCCTTATGAATGAGGGTGCTTGATTTGGTGACCAAGAATGTGTAGTGTTCTTAGTTGTGGACAGTGGAATCCTTGCTAGCTAGTCCAAATAAAAGGAGGTATTGGTTAACATACAGATTTTTGGAGAGACTGTACAGGTAAGCTTAGACCCAACCAAAGCAGAAGCAGTGCAACCAGAAGTTGTCAGTGACAGTAAAGGAATGTTGGAGCAGAAGTGTCATGGCTGCTGACCCCTGCCACAAAGTTAGAGATCAGCCAGCAGAATCTCTGGAACTTCTGCCAAGTTCCTACAGGAAAATCCTGCCTCCATGATTCTGTTTGATATGAGAAGTATGTGGCTTCCAAATTACAGTGAGTTACTTCAGTTTTAATAAGTCTTGCATAGAGTGCCTGCTTGGTAGAAATTGCATTACATGTGGGGCCTTAGCTGCAGAGGAGCTCAAAAAATACAGTCTTTAGCTTTCCATTTTTGGGTACAGGAAGGCGTGCTAGAACCTGGTATTGTGTGAGCTCGTCTTTGTTATCTGCTGTAGCAGATTAAAAGCTGATCATTACGTACAGACCTCATTGGCCAGTAGAAGTTTTGAGTATAGTGGAAATAAGTAAGCTTGGTGTGTTACCTGTTAGGAACTTAACATGGGAACGTATAACATGAAACAAAATCTTTCAGATTTTAAAGTGGTAGATTTTGCCTGTGTTTGTGTACTCTATAGATCTCTGTGGTTTTGCATAATACCAGTATATTTGCATATTCATTCATGGAATGTTTGAGAGCACCACATGTGGCCTGTCCCATATGATACTAAGAGCTAGTATTATAACGGTGAGAAAGACAGTCTGTAGCAGGAAGGTCACAGACTTGGTGTAGTAGTGTTTTTCAATAGAGATGTGCATTAAAATTGTGAAGTTGAAAACTGTAAGTGTGGGATTCTACATGTATATGTCCACTGTCTGGCACTCTTGCCAGTGTGAGGGTCCTAAATGTGAGAGATATGCAGAGTCTGGGAACTTATGTGTTTAGCAGACTTCCCTGTTGATTCTTAAACATTCTCCCTTGGTGAAGAACCACTGGTCCAGTGGGTCAGTAATAACCATTTTGTTTTATTGCTGTTGAAAACTTAGGACTATGTTTCAGTTTGCAGCAGTTATTTCCCACTTGGTTCATTTACTTTAAAAAGGTCTAAAAATGTGTGCTTGTTTTACAGGAGCAGAATTACCAGGGCAGGTTATCTCCATGGCAGCTTCTACTCTAGCAACGTTGGCCATCTCTATCACAGGATATGAATCAGCCACTGAAGACCAGCCATCAGCCCAGCCTGCAGGTGAGTGACTTCATGAAGGCATGCCTTCAAAGTCATTCGGGAAAATGAAATATACATAGATGAAATGAAGAAGGATGCATCACAAAATGCTGCTTACTTGGTCCTTCATTTTTCTCTCTGATTCCTTTTTTTACATGGTTTCCCCCTCTCATCTTTGTCCTCATGTATCACTTTTTAAGATACATTTAGTTATTTACCTTCAGGGGTTTCTTCCCTTGATCCTTCTTTTCCTTTAAAAATTCTTTTCTGGTTTTTCTTTTGCAATTCTCTTTCATTTTCCTTTCAGATTTTCCTTTTCTTGGTCCCCCATTTACTTTTATCCATATTACCCCCCCATCCCACTTAATCTTTTTTTTATTTTCCATTTCTTATACAACTGTCAGTTCTCTTCCATTATTGTATTTTGCTCTTTTTGTTGCTTTTTTGTTACTGTTCTTTTTATCCAACTCTTTCTTTTGGCATTTATTTTCCATCTTCTAGTTATCCTTTTCTCTGACATTTCTTGCTTTTCTTAAAGTTTGCTTTGCCTGCCTCATGTTGTAAATATATTGACCCTTTCCCATAAAGCAGACCCCTCTAGTTGTCCTAGATTCAGGAGCCTTTGATATCCAGCTGGTAGATTTATACCAGCTTTAAAGTCACACTGTACCCACAGGGAGTTCAGGAATGTAAAAGGCCATCTCTATGCTAAGAGGTCCATTAGTGGCAGAGGATTTGGAGTTAAAGAATATTTTTGGTGAGCTCTTCTTGAAGAACTGACTTGAGGAATGTCTTGAAGGGGAAGGGATTTGGGGTAGTAGGAACACTTCAGCTAAGAAAAAGGCATTTGGGGTAGTAGGAACACTTTCTTGCACATTGAATCATGCTTTCAGGGGAAGGATGATATTTTAGTTACAGACCTATTACCTTTCTAAATAAATACCACATCTACCAACATGAAGTTCCCAAATTAGGAAGACACTCAGAGAACAAAGTCAAACACAAGGATACTACAACTCTCTTGGGCTTTAGCCCCAAACCTTGGGTAGAATGTTAGTTCTGGTGATATAGGCCGACTTACCATAGTGTTAGTTATATCAGTAGTAAAAATTTACCCACTGCTAAACATTTCACATTAAAAGAAACACTAAAGAGATGATGATAGAGCACTCAGGGCTACCATGTTGTTGTTCATGAAATTATCAAATAATATAAAGAAGGCACTCTTTCAACAAATATTTATGAGCACCTATATATTATATGTCAGGTACTATTCTATGTGCTAGTAGTGGAGTGGAGGGAGAGCAAGACAGACAAGGTTTTAGCTCTCCTGGAGCTGACACTCAGCTGAAGGGAGGAAGTGGAAAAGGGTAAGTGGAACATGATAAGATGATGTAAAACTGGGGGGCAGAGAGGGCGTTGGGGTTATGGGTGTTTTTGTTTCTTTTCTCTTTTTCCTACTCTTTATAAAATACAATAAACTTTTCTGTTAGTAACTTTTTATGTGAGACAAAATGCAAGTTTTAGGATTATTCATTTTCATCATCATGGTATATATACTGAGTAATAATGCTTTAAGAGTTATATAATTTCTGACTTATATTATGTTTTGCTAAAACTAGGAAATAGAAATAATGTAACCCTGTAGTAAAATGTAACATAGTAGTTGCATTGTTAGAAAACAGTGCCTTAAGTGAAATAATTCAGTATGATTTTCTTTATTTGAAAATCCTCACCCCCAGCAATCTGTCATTGTTTTATCTCATTCTAAGGGAAAGACATGTTTCAAAGCCCCGAGTTCTTTTTAAGAGCAGTTGGCTTCATTTTAGGGGAAATGACACTGAAAGGTCATACTGTGTCAAAAAAACCTTATAAATACATCTAATTAAAGTTATATTGAAAGAGAAATTTTTAAATATGGAAATTCTATATTTGTTGCTTTGTATGGTTTGAATAATTTTCTTTTTTTGCTGTGTATATATAATTGCTAATTATAATTCTCAACTATTGTCATGTGTTTTTAGTTTTTTGAGTGATAAATATATATAAATAAATGATATATTTAAGTTACAAAAAACTTGAACAGTATGAAGTGTGTAAGGTAAAGAATAAAAGCTTTCCCCATGTCAGTTCCACCCCATGTTTATATTTCCTAGATTCAAATACTGTCAGCAGTGTACTTCTCCACACATTTTTCGTTGTGTACACAGACATATATCCAGATCTTTTTTTTTTCACTTAATGTAATCGTGTCAGAGTACATTTTGAGGGCTTAAGATAGAGTAGCCTAGTGAATTGCTCTATATTACTGATGACTCTATATTACTAATATAAACTAATCTGGTGGGTGATTTTTTTCTTTCCCTCTTCAGAAACCCTGGACAGAGGAGAACCACCCCCAACACTGTCCTCATCTTCAGCTTCCTCCCTTTCACCCACTCTGGGCAGACAAAGGCTTGAAATTGGAACGTTTCTCAGAAAGAAGAAAACCAGTGATATCTACTTTGTGTCTCTTGTTTGGGCCATCGTTGGCGTCCAGATCTGGTTGAACCTGTGGATTGTGCAGTTGCTGCCCGTGCCTATTGCAGGTAATAAGTTAATTAGGATCTTGTGTTTGAAGACATTTTTTTCTTCAACTTCTGTATTTCAAAATCTGAGATAATTTTACTGTCTTTTAAATAGTTGTATGTTTGCATTTAAACAATAAACATTTTAGAAACTTAGTACTTTCATACTTCCTTACTATTTCGCTTTTAAGCCTGAGCTTGTATTGAGCCTCATAATTTTGTGTGGTGTTAGAGACTGATAGTTCCATGTGGAGTGTTGACTCTTCAGCTGTCCATGATTGTGTGGAAGAGAATGTTAAGAACAATCTGGGTTTTGGGGTTTATGACTGAAATTTGAGAGCTGCTTTTGTGAAGTGCAGTTTACACTGAATTTTTTATTCAAAGGAAATGTAGGTTTTGAGAAATATGTGTAAAATCTTGATTTTTCTTTTGTTTGGCAGAAAATTAAATTACTTGAGTATATATTATATTAGAATGGGATCCTATGCTTTCCAAAAATCATTAAACTAGGTCTTTGCACCTGAATACCGTAGTATTTTAAGACCTACCTCTGTTGTGTTGACTCTAAAACTGTCTTCTAAGACTGGCAAGAATAAAGAAGAGTTTTCTTCTACTCGGGTGCATTATAGATGAGTCTTTTGATACTTCGCTGATTGTTTGGGCTTTCCTCTTACTGCAGTCATAGTCCATGCCAAATTTGTTAGGTCCTCAGTTGATCTCAGGGTTCCGCCATCCTGAATTTGATGAGTCCTTGTCTCTTTTGTCAAGGTTTTTCACTGTTGATTTAAACATAATCTGATTTTTGGAAAACTCTTTTCCACCAAGATTTAGGAGTCTGAACTTACTAGACTATTTACTTTCTAGATCATTAGTTTTTAAACTAACTTATCATTCTCATTAAATTGGACAGTTAATTAAATAGTTTCTATTTTTAAAAAATATTTGTTATGACCAGAACATGGTGTACTGCCTGCCCTTAGGGGACAGGGAAGGGAAGTGGTTGAAGTTTGAACCTGCTTCTTGCATCCTGAAACAGAGCCATTGGGCAGTTGGAACAAAATACAGTTGTAATCAAGTCACAGAGTATATATCATAGCCATTCTTTATGTTCAGGATTTTATACAAATGCTTAGTGAAACAATTTATATTGCTTTTCTGGATTGTTCTGTACTTTTTTGGTTTTACCAGATGGTTTCTTTTATGCTGGAGATCATTTATCAGGTGTTTTTGAAAGTCCCCTTTCCCTAAAGTTTGTTAGCAGGAGTTACACTTGTCCTTATCATTTCTTAATCTTTAGGCCATCTTCGGAAGTTGACATGGCCTGTGAACGGGTGGCTCCCAAAAGGTTCTCTACAGCCTATACTTCTCCTTGGCTTATCCTATAGACTAAAGGAGCTTTCTTTGGACCTTGGTAGAGATTTAAAAATTCTAATGAAGAAATTGCTGAACTGGTATTTAACACTGAGCTCATGGTTCAGAATAATAAACTGTGAACCATTAGATTAGTCCACAGCTAAGGACACAAATCCCTAGAGTTGGGAAATTGTAGTGGTTGGGATCCAGTCGCCCAGGGTTCAAACATCAAGGTAATTCTCACAGATAACACTGCCTTCTGGTCCCACCACCTTCTTAGTTGGCCTTAAATAGGAAGCTTAACTGCGCTGCCCCATTGCCGAGGGGTGTATTCATACTGTGGCCTGTGAGTGGTCCCTACTGAAGCTGTGTAGTAACCAGCCTCTGGCGTCATTTGTAACAGCCCTGCTTGCACCCATGTTGCTTCTCTCCTGAACCCTGGTAAAAGATTCAGATGTAGAGAGCAGCAACAAATAGGGAGATAGGAACGCAAATGAAAATGTAACCCTGTAGTGGTATAGAATCATGATGCCATATGGAATACCTTATTTTTTCTGGTCACTAAACATCAAACACCTAAGGATGAGAACAAAATTTTGTAAGAGCAGCTGTAATAACTAAGGAGATTAAGGCACGTTGGGGTTAGTATTCTTTACCCTAGAAGGATGAGGTGTGAGGGGTCAGTATTGTAGTCTCTGAAATCTTCGTGATCCAAGTATATAGTATGTTTATATGGGCTATTGCCCTGACTCCTTCAGGGTTCAGACTTCCCAAAGGAGGTAGTATATGGACAGGAGGGGACCGTATGAAAAGTTATCCCAATTCCATCAGTTTGGAATACCTTGAACTTTGTTTCCTCCTCCCTCCTTTTTTTAAAAAACTGATGTTTATTTTAATACTAGGTTTGCTGTTTCAGAAAAGTCACATGAAATTAAGGGACCTTTTCATATTGTAATTTTGTAATCTCTGTTTTGTTTACATTTGTATCTCTTTTCTTTTTTATAGTCTGGATACTCAAAAAGCTGGTTATTCACTTTGGAGTTGTGAACTTCCTGGAGAAACGCTGCTGTGTGTGGTGGCAGGTTATAGAGCACTTCTTGAGGGAGCGGCAGGAAGCCCTAGCACCAGGGCCAATTATTGGGCTTGGAAAATTCTTGTTGAAAGTTGATAGCAAGGTATTGTATTTTAAGAACTTGGGTTGTTTTAATGTCATTTATGTATTTCATTGTCTAAAATATTCCACTTCATTGTATTTAGTGTTTATACTGTTGTTTGCTAACACATTTACTATCTAATTCTATGATGAAATTTAAAGTTTAGAATTACAGTTTGTACAAGGTTAGGATAGATTTAGTTTAATTAAGTATTGTGCAAGGAATTTTCCCTCTTAAAAATGGGAGGAAAGGATCTTATGGAACACTTAATTCAATCCCCTTGTTGTATAAGGACTAAATTGAAATCCAGAGGGGTTAAGTGACTTGCCTAAAATTATATAGCCAAGTGGAGGCTCAGTTCAGTGACTATTTTTGAAGTAATTCCCACATGTCAGATATTGTTCTAAGTCCTAGGGAAAGTCAGATGAATCACAGAAAACTAGATGCAGAAGGTCTGCTTAGTGGAGAGACAGCAATCCATTAACATTCAGAGGCGGTGGTTAGATTCATAGGCTTATAGTGGTTAAGAACATGGGCTTTGAGTCTGAACTGGTTTTAGATCTCATTTCTACTACTTATAAGCTGTGTGACCTTGGATGAGTTTCTTACGCTTTCTGTGCTTTGGTTTCCTTATCAATACAGTGAATATAATAGCATCTACCTCATAGACTGTTTATGAGGTATAAATGAGTTAATATATGTATAATTCCTAGCTTAGGGCCTGGCACACAGTAAGCTCAATGTAACTGTTAGCTGCTGTTACAATTTGTGGAGGAAAAGTATATACGGGATACAGTGGTGGTGCCGAGCAAGAAATGACTCACCATTGGTGAGGCAGCTAGAGAAGGGGAGGTTTTGTGTCGGTGGTGTGGCACAGAGCAGATTTTGAAATAGTTTATTAGGTAGACATGGCAAGAAGAGCAGGTGAGCGCCAAGGCACAGAGACTCTCACAGCATGAGTTCTTAGGGAACCCCAAGAAAAGGATCATGGTTGAGAGGTGTGAAATGGACTGGTGGGAGGTAAGGCTGAAGAGGCAGGTGAGGCTGGATCAAGGAGTGATCCATGTGTGCTATGCTGTGCGAGCTGGGCTTTGTCACAGAGGCTAGTGACTGTTTCCTGTAACAAGTCCATTCATGACTTAGGGTCGAGAAATGTTGTTAGGTGAAACTAATGTACATATAGATGAGAATAATAATTGGAGGTCCTGTGAGGAGGAAGGATGGTAAAGTAAATCTTTTAAACTCATAATAAAATCTCCTGGTCAGAGGAGGTGCAGGGGATACATTTTCTGATGAGTTGCCTGTCTTCCAGAATGTTTGTCAGTTTTAAGTCCCACCAAGGCAACATAGAATGCCTATTTCCTTGAGCTTTTGCCATTTTTTTTCAACTTTTTGAATAAGAAAGGATCTAGGATTTCTCACAAAATTTCAGCATATTTATTGTAACTCCTTGGTGTTGGGGTGAAGCTTTATCTTACTACTGCATATTCAGTGCTTCAAACTATTTAACAATGGTAATTCTTATTTTAGTAATTTGCTAATTTCTTTGTGCTATCACTGTCAGAAGGAATAGAAACTAAACTCTATTTTCTGCATTCCCATGTGCTTGTATTTGGAACCCTTCATTTAGGACAACTCTTCAGCTGTGTCAGTTGAAGTTCAAGGGGCATCAGAAGGTATTTGTTATGGAATAGCCTTGTACGAATGTGTCATTTTTAATCTAATTTTTATGCCAGCTTGTCCTTAAGGAAGAGAGATGATAAAATGAATAAAACTAGCATTTTCTGCTATGTATTACAATACATATTAGACAGAATAAATGGCTATTATAAACTTATTTTTCTATTGATGCCAAAATTACATTTTTTCTAGTATAATAATATATTTGGGCTGCTGCATTGGGGAATAATCTAATTTTCATGTTTATATTAAATTTTAATTGATTGGACCAGTGGTTTTGAAATTTCCCATCTACCGGAGTTGTTTGCAGTATGTGTCAAAACATGAATTGGGTGCACTTTAGGGAAAACTGCAAAGAACATTTACAGTCACTGATGAAATTATGCTTTTTAGCTGCCACTCTTTTTTTGATCACTAATAATGCCTTATGATCCTGTTTACCCATTTTTATATAATGTATCCACTAGCTAGCATTAGTTATCATAATGCTAACTATTGGGAGGTTTAGATGAGGTAATATTTATACCAAAAAAAAAAACCCAGGATGTTATATGCAGTAGAAAAATGTGTGCCTGAAAAATTGGGGTAGAAGGAAACTGTACCATATAGTAGCAGAACCTCCACTATGTCTGTTTTTTGGCTATGTGTTCACTGTTGCAAATAAGCACTGAAATGTTTTAGTCTTTTAAAAATGTGAAATAATGCTATAAAGCTGCAACTACAAAGTTCAGTGAAGATGTAATATGTGAACATGAATTAACTTATACAAGGACTGAAAGTCCTTAAAGTGCGTAGTAAGTGAAAGAATCTTAATTATTACTCTAATCTTTGAATTAGGTGTGACCAAGCCTACAAGCATTCAGGTTACTTTATGTATTTTTAATTGTTGACCTGCCAGGAAAGCTTGTGGTTATCATTGTATGTCTTGAATACTGCATTCACTCGATTTTAAAACTTGTTGATGAATTACAGTTTTTTTTCCTAGTTTTTCCTTTGGGGTAATTTCCTCCTCATGGCTCTCAATGACTTTCTTTTCTTTCATACTATTATTGCATTCTCTGATGATATTACACTGTTCTTACCTTCTCTTTCTCATCTTACTTCCTATCCTCAAGCTCTGGCACTGGCTAAATAAGAAGGTAAATGAACATATGGATGTTAGTTTTTACTATTGAATTCTGTAACTTCTCCCTATATCTCTGTTCTCATTCTGTTTCTGTCCATATGTCAAACTAAGTTTTTGTTCTTAAAGTTCTAATTATAAGCTATGGAAGGTCGTGAAGCATTAATACTGTCACAGTTACAATTTGCTAAAAACCCAAGGCTATTTATTTAGGATATGGGTGTTATGTCCTTGCTTAAGTTCTGTCTTATAGTCCTTTTGTCCACCGTGATTTCATTACTTTCCAACTCTATAAGGTGGCCCAGCCGGATACTGTAGTCTCCTCTGATGTGTGATAGACATTAGGCAATAATTACTGAAAAGGAAAGAGAATTCTTTATTACTACTTTTTCTATAAATGACACAGGACTTTTTAAAAAAGATAGATCTCAAATATTTGTATGATTCCATTGGTTAATAATTTTATATATTGTCTTTATTTACAGCAGTATTCCAAAATTTTATTTTTAACTTAAAAGAAGTTTGTAGTCATAGCCTGTGACATCTAATTTCATGTGTTTCCTAAGAATGAGGTTGTATCTATAGTAAATGCATCACAATTGGCATGGAATTATAATAGGTTCATTTTTAATAACTGCAGTACAGGATAATCCAGGTATATTAGGAGTGCTATACCTCTGACATATAGCCCACATGGAGTAGTTCTAGACTTAAGTTCATTGAATCCCTAGGAAAGATAATAATAAGAGATGACATCATTTATGTATACTGTGTTTAAACACAGTAAGACTCTAAAAATTTTCAGTGGAAATATAACAGTCTTTAAGAAAGATGTGGTACTTCTTGGAAATGGATCAAAATGAAACTCTTGAGTGCAGAGATTTGGATTTCATTCTTTTTGTTGAAGTAGAAGAAAGGGATTTTTGACAGTGCTTAAAGTTTTAAACTTCAGATTGAAAATAAACAGTGTGTGAAATAAATCTACACACACCACTCCCCATGCCCCCTCCCCCCAATTTCCCCCTACAGTTGTGTATACCTCCATTGTCTACAAAACTGATATGATTAAATGAGTTCAGTCCTTGGCAGATGATAGTGATAGCACATTTTCTTAATTTTGATGAGTGTGGCTGACTTTATATTTCTCCAGTGTATGTGCATTGAAATGAAATTGTCCTCAAGAGGTGAGAGGGAAAGGAGACATAAAGTCATTAGATTCAATTTGATTTAGCTTTTGGTGATTAAATGAGTTAGATTACCTAATTTATAGGCCTAATTCATAGCTGACTAGTTATGAGTTAGTTTTAAAAGATTCTTGGGAGATCAAGTAACTTTTTCCTTTTGTGTAGAGCGCCCCAAGTGCTGCGAGGGTGTGCTCCAGAAAAACAAATGAGTTGAGGTTCATTTTACTACATTGTATCCAAGGTCAGAAAAATTGCAGTACCTGGGTATTTGGTATTCCAGGTGAAGTGGAGTGAATTAGGAAACTTATTTCAAACCGGGAAGGGTGAGAGAGGACATGTCTGTGGTTCACTGAAATGTGACTTATCTCTCAAGGCTGCTTTTATTTCTTAGTATTGATTATTTATTTGCATTAAGACCAGAATTTGGTTAAAAAAGCAACAACAAAAAAATTCCTTACAGGCCCAAAGTAATGACACAGAAAACTAAGTAGTGGAATGGTACATTCTTAATTGCTTGATAAGTAAGGCCAGTCAGTTTAGAAGTTTCAGAGTGCATGCCCTTCATTCACACTTGAAGCATTCAGAATGTCATTTCATTTAAAAATTACTCCTCTTCTTTTTTTTTAGAAAATAATAAAGCTTAAAAATTAAAATAATTTCTCACAGCATGGAAGACTGGGGAACATCCTATGGACTGTGTGATTTCCACAAGCAAGACAGTGATGTGGTTTCCTTTTCCCAATGCTGAACACCGGGACAGAAGCAGCCTTGGGCCAGCACCTCTGGCATTTCCCTAGGAATTCTCCTCCATTCCCTTCACCTTCCTCTCTCCATGTTTCTCATTCAGTTTGTGTCCCTGTTGAATCTTGTTCCGTTCACTCCTGGGGCTCTTTTCCTCATCTAAGTTTTCTATCCTTTTTGTTTTTTCTTCTCTGTTGGGCCTTAATTCTCTGCAACAACTCTCCCCTCCCACATTTTTTATCTTCTTCTCTTGACTTTTTCTCTCTCTGTTTATTTGTTAAAAGTCTTTCTCTCTCTTTTCCACTCCTCTCTCTTTTGCTGTCACTTTAGCCTTAATGTGACTACGACCCCCCCTACCCAACTTTTTTAGCTTACGTATTGAGCATCTAAATGTACTTTAAACTTTCACTGAAACATCTACCCCTCACTGTTATCCCTTGAATATAAAATTTTATTTAAGTGACTCCTAAGGGTGGATTTTTCCAGCTTTAGGTATATATGGCTTATGATAGGAAAATTCTACCCTGCTGTAAAAAACAAAGTTTGATTTTGTAATGTTGATATATATAATATGTTTGTGAATATTCTGTTTTATATGTTAAAGATACCAGGCATAAATACTCATACTTTCTAAGTAGAATGTTAATTATCCTAAAAAATATTTTTCAGGATATAATTTTTCAAAAAAAAAATTGACACTCAAGTTATTTTCAGAAATTGTAATTTGTATTATTAAGAATACAAATCTGGTCTTAATTCTGAAATACATGCTTGTCTATTTAAGTGTATGTTAACTGAGCTTTTAACCACAGTCCTGCACTCTTAGGTTTTGGAGATAGAAAGAGGAATAATACAACACCAGCTCTTTTACAAAAGAAACTGTCTCAAGAACTAGGTGTTAAGCTCGGTACTGGTTGTGAAATTTTGCAGTTTCATTGATTTTAGAACTTATAGTCCAAAATACGGTGTCTGACCTTCCATATCTTAGAAACCTCTTAATACGTTTTCTAATCTCTGCATTGTCTCCGATGCTTTGGTAGCATGGACTGAAAATTAACTCTTCTGTTTGAAGCTGTGTTTGTCAAGGTAAAAGATATACTTTCTATCTGTTGAGTTCAATGTAACATTGATCTCTTAGTACCAGTATTCTTCATGAAAGGTAAGGGGGATTCAAGCTTGCAAGCATTGAGTGGAAAATAAATGTTTTAGGATTCCTGTTGTTTTCTTAATCACCTTCTATGCTCTTGGATGTTTAATTCACTGTTTGAAGAGCATAGTTCATGTCTGAATTAAGAATAATTTACTCAGCTGTGCTATAGCTGCTGTTGGAGTTGAGGGATACAATGTGGTTTTCAGCAGTGATCAGTCTAATTTGATGGCATTTTTGAAATGTTAAATGGTAGCTTTGCATGGCAGGAATTCTAGAAATTTATCAAAATTATGTATTTTGAGGAAAAAACTTAAATGAGGGATTATTTGTGATTGTGAAAGGTGAGAGAAGTTATACTCAAAATAAAATGTCAGGCAGCATTTATGGAGAGCATAGTTTTAATAATTAAGGAATAACCACTGCATTAATGATTATATATAGTCAATTATAATTTGTCGTAAAGCTTATGTTTTAAAAAGAGTAGAAATATCAAGATCTCAAGTGGAAAATCAGATTTTTAAAGTACTATATTATGAAGTATTTCAAATATAAAAAGAACACATCTGTGCCTATTCTCCAGCTTGATAAAACTACCTATATAATTGAAGCCCATTTTGTTCCTCCCCCTGATTGTGCATCCACCTCCCAAACGTTGTCCCAGGGTAGCTCTTCTCTGAATCTGGTATCTATCATTACCTTAACATTAGAGTTTTATTACTACTGTTTCTTTAACCCTTTCTCCACCCATACCATCCACAGGGATTCCCAGGCTATCTCCCCACCATCTCTAGGGGCAGCCTGCCCAAGCATCCCACCCATGAAGACAGATTTTTGGATTCAGAGGTCCTGCTGACTACGCCAGGTGTAGCTCCAGGGGAAAGCATGTTCCCAGCCCCTGGGCAAATAAACCTTTGAAACCACAGTCAGTCAAGGGAAAAAACCTTTTGTTTGAAGGCCTGGCTCTTGCTCTTTCTTGCCTCTCCACCCACCCCTTGTAAACACCTATTGATGTGGAGATGGACTAAGGCCAGGCCAAAGATTCTGGAAATACTTCAGTTTTAACCAAAGCCCTAATGACATCAAAGGGAAAAGTGTTTTGACTGTAATTCCTATTTTAATTTGCTCCTATTTTATCTGTATAGTTTAGGACGTACCTGTTTTTATAAGAGGCATACTTTTTCTAAAGTCATCTGTATTTGCTAATTAACAATTAAATTCTGTGAGATTTGAGGACAGCTAATAGCTTGTCATTATTTTGTTTAAAATACCAGATTATAATTTGAAACATAAATATACCAAAGTATGAGAATTCAAACAGAGATACAGGTTATGTTCAAATTGACTGCCTTTAATTAGATATAACAATAATAAAGTCTGTGTAACAAAACAACAGTAATTAACACCATTAGTTAATTTTCTGAAGTTGCATATAGCTTTCATTGCTTTAATCATTATGCCATAGTTTGCTTTGCAATGCTGAATATCCTGTTTTGTCTTCATGGTATTTGAATACCTTTGCGTTTTTATTAAGTTGTGTTTGAAAGGTAATTCTCTTTTTCATTGCAGATGATCATCTGGTTGGAGAAGATGTTAGACAAAATAATTAGCATTTTCATCATATTTTTGTTAGTGATAGGAACCCTTCTATTAGCCCTACTGCTGACTGCAAAGGTAAAGTATAATAATTACTATTACCATTAATAAACTTAATTGTTAAAATTGTAGTATGGATAAGAAGCTAGGAGAAGCAGGCGTGGAAAATGTTACTTTACTTAAAAATGTATAACAGTTAAAGAATTTATGGTTTTGTATTCATTTTGTTGTGAATTTGGCTAGTTTATTTTTTCAGTGTGCATTTTTATTCATTGTCATAAAAATCCTAAGGAGTAAATGCAGATTAAGAAATTGAGATACTGAGGAACAAGTAAGTGGCTGCTTCTTTCAATAGGAGGTCTATGATTTGGTCTTATTATCCCTAATCTAGCTGGTTCCCTGTTTATTAGATCAGAATTTCTTGATTAGCTTTCTCCCCTCTTGTTTCATTGGTCCTTCTGCTGATTTACCATAGGGTCTTTATTCTCACTTTCCTGGTCCTTTCAACTTAACATTTTTCCTCCTTAGTTTGGACTGCTATAACAGAATACCATAGATTGGGTGGCTTAAACAAGAAACATTTTTTCTCACAGTTTTGGAGGCTTGAAGTACCAGATCAAGATGCCTGCATGGTCAGGTTCTTGGTAAATGCCATCTTTCTGGTTTATAGATGGCCATTTTCTCCTAGCCTCACATGGTGGAGAGACAGATCATTTCTCTTGTGTTTCTTCTTTTGAGGGCACTGATCCCATCATGACGGTTTCACCCTCATGACCTAATTATTTCCCAGAGGTCCTACCTCTTACTAGTCATCACATTGAAGGTTAGGATTTTAACACATGAATTTTAGGAGGATACAAACATACTGTCCTAACACCCGTCTTTCATGAAAGAAAATCATTCTTTAAAGTATAGCTAAAATTTTCACTATAGTGATGTCACTTACTAACTTGTTTTTTTACTTTTATAGTGTATTTTATTCTTTATTTTATCTGAATTCACTGAATCACACATCCCAGATTTTGATAGGTTGTTTTCCAGGAATTGTGAAACTTAGATGAAATCATGGATATGAAAAATTTCATACAGTGCTGTAGAGATATGATAATTGTTATTAAGAGATAATTCAATATGAATCAATTTACTAAAGGATTGCATTGTTTCTTGCTGTGTGACTCTCCATGTGGAATTCCTGTTCTCACTCTAACCCTGAATATGCCCTTAGTCTTACCATTTGCTCCCAAATAAGCTTCTCTCTCCATACTTTTGTTTCAGTTCCTATACAGTTATTATCTGTTTTTTGGATATTAATCATGTATAGTCATCTTAAATAGACTGTACAGACAAGCTTAGGGACCTTTCTTTGTTTTTGTCCTGTTTCACCTACACCTGGCACATTCTTATCTCTCCTTCTAGTTCTTAGAGAAACCTTTTACTAATATGGTCTTCCATTTCCTTTCTCTTTTTCTTCTCCTGCTCTTCTTCTATTCCACTTTCCCTTCTTTGTTCCTTTGCATAGGGTCTGTCCATTTCAGTTATGTTCGTCTTTCAAGTTCTTTTTCTTTGTTCAAACCATGCTTCAGTGAGATTCCGCTTTCCTGAACTTTGATAACATGTACTGAGCCACTTCTTTGCGGTCTAAGACTCGTGTAAACTGACCTTTCAAATGAAACTTATTGGTCATCTAGTTTATTTTCCCAGCCAATAAAGGGATGGATCATCCTTTAAAATACCATGACAGTAACCACTTAAATGTCTAATAGACATCTCAGATACAACATGTTAGAAACTGAATTCTAGACCTTCCCGTGCTTGTCTGCCCTTCTCATAGGCTTCCCATTTTAGTAAATGACAGCTTCATTTTACTTGCTCAGGTGAAAAGCCTTGGTTTGGGGTCATCCTGCCTGCTTTGTTTCTTTTGTATCCAGTTTGTTAGAAAATCCTTTTTGGCTCCTTATTGGAAGTACAGGGTGTGGGTGTCACGTTAAATCCTCTTTATAGAAAGCAAGAATAAAACAGTATAAAATTATTTAAAAAAAGAAAACCATTTTAGGGCATTGGAAAATGACCAGTTAGGCAAACAAATTGAGAAGTATTTATTCATGAAAAACTGTTACTGCTTCTGGTAGAAAATAGGTAGTTTGTGACTTTCTTGCTTGGAGTTATTCTCATCCTGCCTACTTTAGGCAGCAAAAGCCTGCAGCTTTTCCTGTGGTAGGTGGTGGACTTGGTTTGGGGCTGGCAAGACAGCAGCTGTAAATAAAAAGGAGAGATTCTGGAAGCAAGAGAGCCTTAGAAGGGCTGAGATTAACAAACCACACATTTGGACTGGTGTATGGGAGACCCCAAGGAGCCCTGTGACTGTAGAAGAAGGCCTGGGGAGATTTGCAGATTTGTTGTGCCTTTGATTACATTTCTCAACTCACACATCTCAGACTGTAGTAGATGAAGTGTCCTAATGTGATGTGTCTGAACATAAATTCTACCAAAATCATTTGCTGACTGCTAAGTTATGCAGGTTCAGAGGAAACCCTAGTTTTTAAGAAATAAGTAACACTGAGCAGAACATAAGTGACTGGGTAGCCAGATTTTGCAGTTTGCTTACAAATAAGTAAATTGCTTACTGAAACAAAATGATAGCCTTCAAAAGAATAAAACAATCCAGAGTTGCTACAACACACTTTAAAAAGTGCCTAATTTATAATCTAAAATTACTAGACATACAAAGAAACTGAAAAGAATGACTCAGGGCTTTAAAAAAAAGTCAAAGCGGTATACACTTAGTGGCCCAGATACTGGATTTAGCTGACAAAAGACTTAAAAGCAGCTAGTATAAACATGTTCAAAGAATTAAAGGCAATTATGCTAATAATGAGTGAACAAATGCAGATGTTCAGCAGAGAAATGGAGACCATAAAACAGAACCAAATAGAAATTCTAGAGCAGAAAAGAACAATAACAAATGAAAAATTCACTAGATAGCCTCAACAGCAGATTTGAGATCCTGGAAAAAAAAATAAGTGAATCTGAAGAAAGATGAATAGGAAGTATCTCATCTGAAGAACAAAGATTTTAATTGTTAAAATTGTAGTATGGATAAGAAGCTAGGAGAAGCAGGCGTGGAAAATGTTACTTTACTTAAAAATGTATAACAGTTAAAGAATTTATGGTTTTGTATTCATTTTGTTGTGAATTTGGCTAGTTTATTTTTTCAGTGTGCATTTTTATTCATTGTCATAAAAATCCTAAGGAGTAAATGCAGATTAAGAAATTGAGATACTGAGGAACAAGTAAGTGGCTGCTTCTTTCAATAGGAGGTCTATGATTTGGTCTTATTATCCCTAATCTAGCTGGTTCCCTGTTTATTAGATCAGAATTTCTTGATTAGCTTTCTCCCCTCTTGTTTCATTGGTCCTTCTGCTGATTTACCATAGGGTCTTTATTCTCACTTTCCTGGTCCTTTCAACTTAACATTTTTCCTCCTTAGTTTGGACTGCTATAACAGAATACCATAGATTGGGTGGCTTAAACAAGAAACATTTTTTCTCACAGTTTTGGAGGCTTGAAGTACCAGATCAAGATGCCTGCATGGTCAGGTTCTTGGTAAATGCCATCTTTCTGGTTTATAGATGGCCATTTTCTCCTAGCCTCACATGGTGGAGAGACAGATCATTTCTCTTGTGTTTCTTCTTTTGAGGGCACTGATCCCATCATGACGGTTTCACCCTCATGACCTAATTATTTCCCAGAGGTCCTACCTCTTACTAGTCATCACATTGAAGGTTAGGATTTTAACACATGAATTTTAGGAGGATACAAACATACTGTCCTAACACCCGTCTTTCATGAAAGAAAATCATTCTTTAAAGTATAGCTAAAATTTTCACTATAGTGATGTCACTTACTAACTTGTTTTTTTACTTTTATAGTGTATTTTATTCTTTATTTTATCTGAATTCACTGAATCACACATCCCAGATTTTGATAGGTTGTTTTCCAGGAATTGTGAAACTTAGATGAAATCATGGATATGAAAAATTTCATACAGTGCTGTAGAGATATGATAATTGTTATTAAGAGATAATTCAATATGAATCAATTTACTAAAGGATTGCATTGTTTCTTGCTGTGTGACTCTCCATGTGGAATTCCTGTTCTCACTCTAACCCTGAATATGCCCTTAGTCTTACCATTTGCTCCCAAATAAGCTTCTCTCTCCATACTTTTGTTTCAGTTCCTATACAGTTATTATCTGTTTTTTGGATATTAATCATGTATAGTCATCTTAAATAGACTGTACAGACAAGCTTAGGGACCTTTCTTTGTTTTTGTCCTGTTTCACCTACACCTGGCACATTCTTATCTCTCCTTCTAGTTCTTAGAGAAACCTTTTACTAATATGGTCTTCCATTTCCTTTCTCTTTTTCTTCTCCTGCTCTTCTTCTATTCCACTTTCCCTTCTTTGTTCCTTTGCATAGGGTCTGTCCATTTCAGTTATGTTCGTCTTTCAAGTTCTTTTTCTTTGTTCAAACCATGCTTCAGTGAGATTCCACTTTCCTGAACTTTGATAACATGTACTGAGCCACTTCTTTGCGGTCTAAGACTCATGTAAACTGACCTTTCAAATGAAACTTATTGGTCATCTAGTTTATTTTCCCAGCCAATAAAGGGATGGATCATCCTTTAAAATACCATGACAGTAACCACTTAAATGTCTAATAGACATCTCAGATACAACATGTTAGAAACTGAATTCTAGACCTTCCCGTGCTTGTCTGCCCTTCTCATAGGCTTCCCATTTTAGTAAATGACAGCTTCATTTCTTCATTTTACTTGCTCAGGTGAAAAGCCTTGGTTTGGGGTCATCCTGCCTGCTTTGTTTCTTTTGTATCCAGTTTGTTAGAAAATCCTTTTTGGCTCCTTATTGGAAGTACAGGGTGTGGGTGTCACGTTAAATCCTCTTTATAGAAAGCAAGAATAAAACAGTATAAAATTATTTAAAAAAAGAAAACCATTTTAGGGCATTGGAAAATGACCAGTTAGGCAAACAAATTGAGAAGTATTTATTCATGAAAAACTGTTACTGCTTCTGGTAGAAAATAGGTAGTTTATGACTTTCTTGCTTGGAGTTATTCTCATCCTGCCTACTTTAGGCAGCAAAAGCCTGCAGCTTTTCCTGTGGTAGGTGGTGGACTTGGTTTGGGGCTGGCAAGAGAGCAGCTGTAAATAAAAAGGAGAGATTCTGGAAGCAAGAGAGCCTTAGAAGGGCTGAGATTAACAAACCACACATTTGGACTGGTGTATGGGAGACCCCAAGGAGCCCTGTGACTGTAGAAGAAGGCCTGGGGAGATTTGCAGATTTGTTGTGCCTTTGATTACATTTCTCAACTCACACATCTCAGACTGTAGTAGATGAAGTGTCCTAATGTGATGTGTCTGAACATAAATTCTACCAAAATCATTTGCTGACTGCTAAGTTATGCAGGTTCAGAGGAAACCCTAGTTTTTAAGAAATAAGTAACACTGAGCAGAACATAAGTGACTGGGTAGCCAGATTTTGCAGTTTGCTTACAAATAAGTAAATTGCTTACTGAAACAAAATGATAGCCTTCAAAAGAATAAAACAATCCAGAGTTGCTACAACACACTTTAAAAAGTGCCTAATTTATAATCTAAAATTACTAGACATACAAAGAAACTGAAAAGAATGACTCAGGGCTTTAAAAAAAAGTCAAAGCGGTATACACTTAGTGGCCCAGATACTGGATTTAGCTGACAAAAGACTTAAAAGCAGCTAGTATAAACATGTTCAAAGAATTAAAGGCAATTATGCTAATAATGAGTGAACAAATGCAGATGTTCAGCAGAGAAATGGAGACCATAAAACAGAACCAAATAGAAATTCTAAAGCAGAAAAGAACAATAACAAATGAAAAATTCACTAGATAGCCTCAACAGCAGATTTGAGATCCTGGAAAAAAAAATAAGTGAATCTGAAGAAAGATGAATAGGAAGTATCTCATCTGAAGAACAAAGATTTTTAAATGTTTGGATGAGCAGAGCCTCAGAGGTCTGTGGGGAAATATCAGAGTTTCTAATTGGCATGTGACTGGAATCCCAGGAGATGAGGAGAGAAATAGAGAAAAGTGGAAAAATATTTGAAAAATAATGGTAAAAATCTTCCCAAATTTGATGAAAAACATTACCAGATTAAGAAGCTCAACAAACTGTAGAAAAAATACACCCAAACACAAAACCAACCTAGACACACCAGTCAAACTGCTAAAAACTAAAGAGAGAAAATCTTGAAAGCAGGAAGAGAAAAATTATACATCATACACAAGAGAACAACAAACAAAACAATCAGTGACTCAATTCCCATATAAACAGTGAATACCAGCAGACATGGTATGATGTATTTGAAGTTTTCAGGGAAAAACAATAATCAGTCAACCAAGAATTTTATAATTACTGAAACTATTCTTTAAAAATAAAGGCAAATAAAAACATTTCTAGATAAACTGAAACTGAGAATTTGTTAATAGTAGGCCTGTACTGTAAAGACCGTTAAAGGAATTCTTTCAGACTGAAGAGAAATGACTCCAGAAATAACTTTTATCCAAAGGGAGGAATGAAGAGTACTTGTAAATACATGGGAATATATAAAAGTTATATTTTTTACCCCTCTTCAGTTTATTTAAACATATAATTACTTGAAGAAAAATTATAACACTATATTGCAGAGTTTACAATATACATACATGGACTCTATACATATAACCATAGCACAAAGAAGAAGACTGGGAATGGAACCATACTGGCGTGAAGTTCCTCTAAGTATTTTACTGGCAGTGAGTCAATATTCACGAAGTAGACTGTGGTTACTTAAAGGTGTGATAAGTTCAAGATAAATAGCAACCAGTAAATATCACCAATTTTAGAGGAACTAAAACAGTATAGTAAAAAAAAAAATTGGTTGACACAAAAGAAGACAATGAAAGAGGAACAGTAGAGACCTACTAGACATAAATCCAGTCATATTAATTCATATATTAAATGTGAGGTGGTAATTGAGAGAATAGATAGAAAATTAGTAAGGGCATAAAGCCTTGAAAAATACTGTTAATAAGTTTGATCTAATTGACAACCAGCAGACTCATATTCAGGTAAACATGGAATAATCACTGTAATAAACTATATGTTTAATATGCTTAATAAATGTAAAAATAATAAAATCACATAGAGTATGTTCTATGATACTGGTTTGTTACTTTTTTATCCCTCATTTTGTTTGGTACTGGGCAAGGTAAATTAAATTCTGAGATGCAGTTTCGGCTGGCTTTTTTTTTTTTTAACTCAGAAACCTTACTTAGTTGATTGCTTGCCTGTATGTCTCACACTGCTTTATAATTCTGTAAGGCCATGTAGTGTCAATATTGCTTATATATGCTGTGTACAGTTAACCCTTGAACAATACATGTTTGAACCTTGTGGGTCGTATACATGGATTTTTTTCAATAAACATGTTGAAAAGTATTTTGGAGATTTGCAACAAATGGAAAAAACATTTTCTTTTCTCGAGCTTACTGTGTTGTAAGACTGCAATATATAATATATGTAACATCCAAAATATGTGTTTTCTGGCTGTTTATGTTATTAGTAAGGCTTCTGGTGAACACTAGACTGTTTTGTAAAGTTCTGGGGGAGTCAAAAATTACATGCAGATTTTTGGTTGTGCAGGAGGTTGGCACCCTTAACCTCCACATTGTACATACACACAAACACATGTGAACTAGATATATATTGTATATATGTGCATTTATATAAATCTATTAATGCATTTTTTTCCTTAAGTAAATTGTTGAGTTTCTTGAATGCAGGAAGCTATTATGTACTCTTTATTTTCTACAGTGTGTGTCTTAAGGACTTTATGTATAGCATCTGTTCAGTGCTGGTTTCTAAGTTAATTGAAACTAAGATATATAATTATTGGACTCTAAAAACATTGTTCCAATAATAGTGTAGAAAATAAGTGTTAAATGGGGTTTATTTTTTATTGAGATTTCATTTCTCTCCTTATTTGTATTACAGGTACATCAAGAGAGTGTACACATGATTGAAGTTACAAGCAATTTGATTAATGAAACTCTAGGAAATCACCCTGAATGGGCAAAGTAAGAATATTGTTTTGGCAAAAATAGAGATGGGTGACCTAGATTCAGTATCTATATGCACGAAATGAACTTCGTTGATGTAGCTACTTTGGAAGACAAAAGATAGGGTTTGCCAAAACTTTGATGAATGTTATTTTTGCATATGAATAGCATATAAATGGGGTATGACTGGGGGGAGCGCTTAAGATTTGGGGAACAGTTGTGGTAAAGGACCTTATATTTGAGTTGAGATTTGGACTTGACAACAGTTTACGTTCCACAAAGCACTTCCATCTGTGTCGTTAGTGCTCCCACAGTGGCTGAGGTGGCTGAAGAGATTAATCACATTTTGCAGATGTGGAAACAATATCAAAGGCTAAGGAATTTGAGGTAATCCCCCAGTCGCAGAGTCAGCAGTGTTCTCATATTGTATCATTTTGAAGGCGTGGTCGGCAAACTGGTGGAGGGGAAATCAGGCCACTTGTTTTCATAAAGTTTTATTGGAACACACCCACATCCATTCATTTACATATTGTCTATGGCTGTTTTGGGGCTTCAAGGGCAAATAGAATAGAGTAGTTGTGAAACAGATTATATGTCCTGAAAAGCCTAAGATATTTGCTGTCTGGCCCTTTATAGAAAACATTTGCCAACCCCTGTCTTAGAAGTATCTTTGTGTGCTTCATTAATTTGGCTTCTCTGAGACGGGTTTTATTTCTTTGTGGGGAATGTCTACCAGAGCTGTGCTATTCAGTCAGTTGAACTTGGTACATGCATGGCCTCCTTTTTTACTAACCCTAAGGTAGTCACTAATTTAAGTTGGGAAATACCCTGCCAGTTTTAGGATTGTAAATTGAGATTGAACTTGGTTTTCTCCCTTGACTTGACTTTATTCCATCATATAAAACCTCTTAGGACATTTCTTGGACTTGGCTTAGAATCATATTTGAATATACTTAAAAAGACTTCTTTCAGAATACATTTCTACCCACTTATCTCCTGTTACCTAGAGTTTATTCAAAGTGCTTATCCTCAGTATTTCTGGTTATAAAATGTATATCCACTCAAGGGAACAGTACTTAAATAAAAATGAGCTATCAGTACATGCAATAGCCTGGATAGATCTCAGAAGAATTATGCCAAGTGAAAGAAGTCAAGCAAACAAAGAGTCCACAGAATATGATTCCATTTATGTTAAGTTCTAGAGAATGAAAACTAATCTTTAGTGAGGGAAAAATCAGTGGTTGGTTGTGGATAGGGTGGACTATAGGAAGGAAATGCAGAGAGGTGCAAGGAAGCTTGAGAGTGATGGATATGTTTATTATCTTGATTAAGGATAGAATAAACAGCATAATTAGAATGTCATTCTATAGCAGTCTTTCCCTCTGCACTGTGGAGAAAAGTACAAGCCTTGAGCCTTTCCACCCATTAAATGCTAGAATAAACCAGGGAAAGGTGATGAAGCCCATAACTGTGGACAGTTGTAGCAGGAGTAAGCAGGATGGACAGATATTAAGATCTTAAGGGAGATTTGGTAATCAGTTGGATATAGGAGAAAGAAATCTAGCATGACTCCTATTCTAGCTTTGGGAGTGAATGGATGATGGTGGATTCACCAAGAAAGGAAATAGAAAAGCAGATGATATGAAAAAGTACTTCACTTTTTAACCTGTTGAGTTTGAGGTGCCTGTGTAAGTAGAGGCATCTAGTAGTCCACTGGCTATGCTGGTGCAGTTCTGGAGTGAAGGTAAAAAACTGGCAGCCTTCGTATCACAGGGACTCCTTTTCTTTGTGGTCATTTTACTGTGGTGGAAATAAGTCCAGAGCCCTTCTGTACCATGACTTGTACTTTGAAAACTACTTTCAATTGTAATAGCACTGTATCTGCTACTGTATTGATGGCACACACATTTGGGGAGCCCTGAATCAGAGTAGTTTAAAAAGTTGGTCATTTTCCTGTTGTGTTATTTAATTTTGAAATGCAGATTCACAGGGAGTTGCAAAGAAATATACATGTTTCATGGACTCCTCACCCCACCTCTAATGTTGTCACCTTACATAACTAATATGATAACAAAACCAACATTTCACTAGTTTACACACACTTGTGTGTGTGTGTGTGTATGTGTGTGTATGTTCTCTGCAATTTTATCATATATAGCTTCCTGTAAGGTAGCAACACCATCAAGAGACAGAATCATTCCATCACCAGATGGTCCCTCATGCCACTTCTTTATTGCCACAGCTATTCTTTACTTCCTCCTTCAACATATCCTTAACCCTTGGCAGCCATTAATCTTTTCTCCATATCTGTAATGTTGTTTCATGAATGATATATAAATCAAATTGTACAGTATGCAGTCTGGTGAGGCTGGCTTTTTTTCATATAAAAAGCCTTAGTCTAATTCCCTTGAAGTCCATTTCAGATGTTGTATGTATCAATAGTTTGTCCTTTTTATTGCTGGGTAATATTCCATGCAGGAAGGGTTTTTTAAAACTGTTTAGACTTTGGTGAATTGGGAAAGGTCTTATTCTTTTGCAGCAGATGAGTGGAGCCAGCATGAATTCGTAATAATGGTTTCTTGCATCTTCCTTGCATCTTCGTGTTCTGAAGATGGCAGTTGGCCTTGTGGGACAAGGCCAACTGCCCTTGTGGGAACTTCATGTGGGTACTCCTAGTGGAGGAGATTCAGTTAAGAATTGATCAGATATACTTTCTTCCAGTGTGTGCACATTTTATATGCCCTGTATCGTTACCTCAGCTTCCCGTGACTGTGCTTGGTGGATAAATTAGAAAAGATTTAGGATAGGATCATCCTAGCAGAGCTTCAGAGAAAATAAAGTTGAAGTTGGAGCACATCTTAATTCTTGTTTGGACAATTCTTTTAGTTTGGAGCCCATTTTCTACTTTCTGTTGACTAGCCTTGAGCCTGTTGATTCTTATGACCCTTATTAGGAGATGGCATTAAAATGGTATTGAATGTGACTTAGCCCTTCTCTTACTTGGGAGGAAGCTAATAGGCGAAGCTAGGTTGTTTTTAATTGGGACTGTTCTCTTGGTAGGTAATATTGTGACAAAGTAACCTTTACTCTGGAAGAGTAGACCAGTCCAAATTGTAGGAATTTGGTTTCACCTGGGGGATCACTCTTGACCTAGGACAGGAGAGTTAGTGATTGGCTGAAGTCATGAATACCTAAGGAAGGAGCTCAGTTTACAGGCACTGGTTGGTGTCAAGATGGAGGCACATCCCAGTTTGTCCCAGCCTAGGTTGCTCCAGTTTTTCTGATCCCTCATCTCCTAGAGGACATTTGTGAAGAGGTCTGAACTGAGCCAAAGCCTTTGACTTGGCTGCATGACAGCTCTTATCTATTGCTCTTAGGACCACTGAGTCAGTCATTGGTGAAGTGTTTCCATGGCAGCCAGCAAGACTTTTTTCTGGCCTAGTAAGTGTTTGTTAGTTATTAATCTATCCAGATACCTCTGTGAATCCTCATACTTGCGAATAACTCTGTAGGTTGTAATTTTCCCCATAAAATGTAGTGCCATATAAATGAAAATATTTAGCAGTCCCTTCAAACTACCAATGAATCTATCTGGAGTAATTAAATTTATCCCAGATCACATCTAGAGATCCATATTTCCTGTTCATATCCTTACACTGTCAGATTATTACATTTGTAAGCATCTCTAAAGCTTTGTCCTATTTGCTGAGAAATACTTGAACTGAGAATTTACCAAATGTTTCACAAATACTTTATTTGGAGTGTAGGATGAACTGGTTAATATTAAAGATTCAAACCATTACCAATTTGACATTCCACTTACTAATTTACCCAAAATGTCTTTTTTTCTAGTTAAAACCATCACTTTCTTAGGCATCATTACTTTCGTGGTGGTCAGTGACAGGTGGCTTTTTCTTTTTGACTCTCTCACTCACACACACAAAAGCAAGTTATCACTTCTGACTTGCTATATAAATTACTGAAAGTACATAAAGCTGTTGTGAGCTGAGGATGTTACACATTTGACAACTCAGTAGTTATTTGACTTTTGCTCATAAGCCAGCATTGTAGCATGTGTCATATTTAGGCATCAGGAAAGTGGTTAGTTACTGCCTGCCATGGCCTTTTAGCACCACTCATGAATGGTTGAAATCAGAACTGTTAGATTTGTGAATGTCACTATCTTTAGTGTACAGTATTGTGAGGTACAATTTAGAGAATATGTGAAGTTATTTTTTCCTTTGGAAAACTCTGAGCTTATATGGCTGGAACTCTGCTTAGGAGTTCCTCTCATCTTAAAGAAAAAGATCTGCAGTGGTAAAAAATATTGAAAACAGTGATTCACCCTCTTAATTTTCTTGTTTTCTTCCTCAGTTCTTCACTTCCTTAGATCAGTGGTTGTCAAATTTTAGCATGCATCACAATCACCTGCAGGGGCTTGTTAAGGTACGATTGCTAGGCCCATCCCAGAGTTCCTTTGTCAGTAGGTCTGGGATTGGGCCCAAGAATCTGCATTTCTAACAGGTTTCCAGGCAGCTTTGATGCTGCTGCTCCATGGACCACCCTTTGAGAACCAGTGAACCAATGTCCCAGATGCTGATTATTCCAGAACCACTTCCCCTGGTTCTGAATAAGGCAGATGACCCAGGACATGTATGGACAGAGAAACCAGGCAGAGCAGAAAGAAAGGGAGGTTTTGGGGAAAGTAGGTCTAAAAGCTAAGGAAAGCTTGAAGGGAAATCCCAGATGTTAGAGTTGGGGCAGTTAGGCCTGGAGGTCAAGAGCTTCATGCGATGCATTTCTATCTGTATGACTACTGATTAGCTGTCAATTAGTGATGGTTTAAATACATGAGTTGCAAGAGTTAATGGCATGGTATACTGAAACTCTACTAACTTTTCATTTTTTTCTCTATTTTAAATTAGTTGGCTTCCCGAGGCTCAGGTAGTCCAAAGAGCCCTCAATTCTGCGGCTAACAATGTGTATCAGTATGGACGAGAATGGATAACCCACAAGGTAAGGGAACAGCTGGTCTTTCTGGCTTTTTCTTTGTAGGGGTCTTCATTGGTAGTGGCTTCCAGCTTTGATAAAGCATAAATGGTGATTCTGTTTAAAACAATTTCCATTTTAAAATAGGCTTAAATCTACAAGTCAACAACCAACATACAATGAAGTTAAACCTTCTAGGTGATTGTACTGAATAGTACTACTAGCCTGAGCAATCTAAGAGTTGGTTATATGCTTGTTCAAGATAGACCTGATTTCATTATTTATGCATTAGGATGGAATGATCACTAAGCTTGGGTGGTCAAATAAGACTATGAGGAGATAAAGTGTTAGGGCATATTAAATTTTATTACCTGCTGGTAACTGCTTGGCAGTTTCTAATTTGTTCTATTTAATTTTTCTAAGAAACCTGCAATGGTCTGAATTATTTTGCCTGCTCCACATACAAGGAAACAGACTTAGCAAGGCTAAGTAAATTCCTAATGGTCATGTAGTAAATTGCAGTGCTTGGTTGCAAACTGAAGACTAATTTCAAATCTTTTGCTCTTTCTACTGTCTCTAAGTTATATTGTCTCAGTGTACTCGGTTCCCACAAACCCTGCAGCCACTCTGATCACTTGTAACTCTGAGACCTGACATCTACTTAGCAAACTAAGGGAAATACTTGTATTTATAGCTAAGATCTTAAAATTTTACTTAAAGTTTTGTGACAATTCTTATAAAAGTGATAAATATAACATTAAATTTCTTATAATGTATGGGCACTTGGGCCTCATGCAACAGATTGTGCTCTGGGCAGATAAGAGTAGATAAGTCAGTAGTCATGGATTCATTTGTAGCATTCTCTTATAACCTGAAGTGGTTCTTTTGGATATCCTAGAATAGAGAAAAGAAAAAAACAAAAAGACAAGAAAGGCAAGGAAATTTACTGGGAATATTGAAGAGCAGAGTTTAAGAAAAGATCATAATGTGCCTAGAGGCAGTTACATAGTCCTGAATACTTTGGCTTGATTTGGAGTAAATGTGGTGACCCAGCATGTATTCATTTTACTGGAGTGTTGACTGAAATTTTAAACTGGATTATATTTGTGTTTCTTCCAGCTTCATAAAATCCTGGGAGATAAGGTGAACAATACTGCTGTAATTGAAAAGCAAGTATTAGAACTTTGGGACCGACTCTATCATTCTTGGTTTGTAAAGGTAAGTTATTAAAGTATTTCATGTATAAACAAATAAAGTCCTTTTATAGACTCATTGTCTAGATAGGATTGTATTAACTTTGGGATTTCATTTTAAGAAGTTTTTAAGCTATGAGATCTTAAATGCCAGGTCATTAAAAGTCAGTTTGAGTTGATGGTTAACCTGCATGGCAGAACCCACTAGTCCCTCTGGTATATCTGTATTCTGTCCTCTAATCATTATCATGCACAGCATCTCATCCTCTAAATTTCATCTAGACCAGCTCTGTGTAATAGAAATGTAATGTAAGCTGCATACATAATGTTAATTTTTCTAGTGGCCACATTAAAAATGAAAAATAAATGAAATTAATTTTAATAATATAGTTTACTTAACCCAGTATACCCAGTATATTATCATTTCAATATGTAATCAATAGAAAAAATGTGAGATATTTTATGTCCTTTTTCTCCCCCCATACTAACTCTTGAAAATCTGGTGTGTATTTTATACTAACAGCACACCTCAGCTTTTGGACTAGCCACATTTTAAGTGCTCAGGAGCTACATGTGTCCAGTGGCTACTGTTTTGCATAGATAGCCCGAGACATAAGAGCTTTTTTCTTTGAGGAAGTGAAAAAAGGTCCAAGACTTTGTAAAATCTCCCTTTGAAATCAGTCTTGTATGTTACTTGTGCTGATACACTCTTACTTCAGAATTTATGATGGGAAAAAATCCCATTTTTCATTAATGTTGATTTTGAAAGCTGCAGGCCATGCTGTCAAAGGGCTTGGCAGGGCCTGTGGGTCATCAGGAGCTGTGCTATGGAAGATGACCATCCAGTGAGGAAGGAGGGAATAGGCGGGGCAGAGTTGGTGGTGATTTTTTCCCACGGTTGATGTAAGGAAAAGAGGAGCATATATAAATCTCTTAATGTGGGGTACAGGGAAGAGGAACATTACTTTAAATTTGAATTGTTCCTTGGTGACCTATTTGGGATTGTGTACTCTTGCCCTGGGGATAAGTTTGGGGAACAGTATTGGTTTTTGTGAGTTTGAAAGACTGGGAGTTAAAATTAATTGGGGAGCATCTAGGTAAGTTCCTGCTGAAGAACCAGATGATTGAGAAGGTCTGTTTCCTCTGTTAACTCTAGGACTTCTGCTTCCAAATAAACAGCTTTTACTGTTCCTTACCCACTTTGAGTTTCATTTTATGGTCCAGGGAGGTCAGTGTTTTAAAAGCATAGATTTATAAGTGGTGAGTATACTGCTTTCTTTACCCTTTTACTAGGACCTGTTGTCTTCCATTTTATAAGAGGATTGATACTACTATGCTGTTAGCAAAAGTGTGAGTGCACCAATACATGCAAAATGTTAAGAACCTACTTCTATGAATTTTAACCGCAGTGGTCTTTATTTATTCATATTGCTTTCGAGTTTATTTATATCGCTTTCAAGTTTATTTATTCCTGCATTCTTGCTAATGTAATTTTCTCCCCATTCGTTTCTTTTTCATATGCTTTTTTCTTTCCCGTTTTATTGAGATATAGTTGACATGTAATATTGTATTAGTTTTAGGTGTACTTTTTCATATTCTTCTCTTTCTCTCTTTATCTTTTAATGAAGAAATAAGGCAGATGAGGAAAGAGGGGGGAAAAAAGCAAAAAATGAGAGACTCAAAAAAAGGGAGAGGGGCTAAAAAGGAAGAAAAAAGGTGACAGTAAATGCTCTTGATGTGCAGTGGTATATATTGAGGAATAAATTGTGGTCACAGATGTGTTTAGGAGAGATGCACTTAAGCTAGGCTAAGACATGGTGTCTAGAATGTAAGCAGAAAAATATTACAGGTCTTCAGGTGGAGTTCTTAGTTGATTTCTTAAGCAATGCAAAGTTTTCACCTTTGAGTAACTGGTAAGTGTTCAAATTGACAAAAAATAAGCTACTTAGACTTTGTATTATAAGTTAAGGTGGAGATTTCATATCTGAACTATTTTATTCTGTAGAATATAACACATTCTGGAAGGCACAAAGGACATAAGATGCATATAAGTCGTCAGAATAGCTGGCTGGGAGACATCCTGGACTGGCAGGATATTGCTTCCTTTGTTCACGAGAACATTGAGACATTTCTTTCGGTAAGAAATAGCAGTTATAGTTAAAATGTACTAAGAAATAAGAAAACTCTAAATCTCAGTTTCTTTATACACTTAGAGGCCTTTAGTTACCCTGTTTTAAATGCTGCGATATTGACAGTTTTGAGAATGCTGACTGCAGTAGAAAGATGCCAAAAACCATGCACATCAGGTGTGGCACCACTGGTGCCTCCGCTGTGGTTGAAGAATAACTGAGAGATGCTGAATCAGGAAGTCTATGGGCAGTGCTGGGGTTCTCAGATTCTGCAGTAGACATCTTTGTTCCCTTAGGCTGATCAGAATGTCCCCAGTTGGACCATTTGAAGGGGAACTGCCTTTCTGGTGGCAAAGCCTTTGGCAGATGGAAATACGGTTCCACTTACATTATTAGAGAGACTGAATGTGTAAAGGCTTATCCTGTTATCTTTCCTTGCCCCTCATCCACCATCCACCTCTGCCTTGTTTTCCAAAGACAGAGGCAGTAATAACAGCTTACCTTGTTGCTGAGTATTAATGACCACTCTTCGTTCCTTAGCATGCTTTTTGTGGTATCTTGCCATGTGGCTTTTCACAGAAATGAGAACTTTCTTGTGAATAAACTTATGACTCTTATCAAGTTAACAAAAGTTAAGGTTTGGAATGGTAGGTTTTTTTTTTAAACTTAATTTTTATCAAATAATTGATGACCATAGCTGAGAAGTCAAAAATGCTTTAATATTTTTAATAAAAAAATATCATAGCTCTACTTTTTGCTTTTCCATTTCAGTCTCATTCTCCAGAAATGTCTGTAGACAAATGTTTTTAGCTTTATTTATGGGTATTTATTTATCTCTAAATTTCTAAAATAATGTTTATGCTGTTCTTTCTTGGTTTTTCAAATTTAGGCATTATCTTTCGGCTTCCTAATGTGGAAGATGAAGATAAAGACGTGACTTTTTTCCAAGTGTCTCAGTGCTTTCTTATTCTTCCCTTGGGGTTTTCTTACAACTCCTTTGGTTCTTATCCCCATCCCTGCACTCACACATTCCCTTCCTCCATTCACCTCAGACAGCTATAACAGCTTGGAATTAAATGTAGAAATTTATGTCTTCTACTTCTAAAGATTTTTTGAATTTTATGTTTCAATAATCCCTTCCCTTTGTTTTCTCTAGTCCAGTAGCTCTCAAACTTTTTGGTTTGAAGACTTCAAGGAGCTTATAGTTATGTGGGTTCTATTGATATTTATTGTATTGGCAGTTAAAATTGAGGGATTTTTAAGTATCAGTTCACTAAAAGGTAACATGTTAACATAAAGAACATAATTTTTGTGTCTGAAAAATAACCATTTTCCAAAACGAGTGATTTAGTGAGTTTTTCTTTTACATTTTTGGAAATCTCTTTAATATCTGGATTCTTGTAACTGCTATTACATTCAGTTTGATGGAATATATTGTTTTGATGGAAGTATATGAGAAAAGTCCAACTTCACATACACATGTAGGTCAAAGAGGGGAGTCTTTTAATAGCCTTTTCAGATAACTGGCTATTCTTGTTTTGGTACTACACCAAAACTCGTATTTCTTAAAGGTTAGTTGCAGTGTCAGATTTGAAACTCTGTCAGTGAACTTTTTGTGCTCCCTTATATTAAAGTCCGTTGATCTGTCTTGGCTAGGAATGGATCTTTTACCCTTACGTGCTTTTGTAATATGCACTGATCCTTTGGAATATTGGTTCATTGGTTTCTGTTCATCATCTAAATAGTGGCACATTTTGTTGTTCAGCATAAAAATACCACACTCTTCAATATTACTGTCTATCTCATCAGAAAAATAGGTGAAGCTGTCAAGGCCAACCCTTGATTGAATTTTGATTTCTGCCATCAGACTTTTTTTATACTCTGAATCTTCCTCCCTGCTCACCTTGGGTGCACAGGAAGGTCACTTGGTTGTTGTTAGACACTACCAGTCTATAATTAGTGTATTCAGTTAATTTCTTAAGAATTACCACAGAGCATTTCCTATCAGTGTGACCCAGAAACTATTTAAACATTTTTTTGATAAAAATTCCAAAATGACTACAGCCCCCAAAAGAATGTTTGTCAAAATCACAACTAAGGGCATTGTTGGTTTGTTTCTTGGAATCAGTGGCATTATTCATTCATTCTTTATCCCACAAGGTCAAACAGTTAGTCATGCATATTTTTGTAGGCATTGTGAAGCATTTTCACAATTTTATGTAAGGAGTTACTGTAAATGAAACCAATTTGCCAAAGGTCTCTTAGAAAGGCTGAGCTGAGGTTTGCAAGAAATGCCGAGGACAACAAAATATGCCTTTATAAATGGTACATTTGAAGTTGGAAAGGAATAGATAGGCCTTTCATAGAACAGATGGTATTATAATGAACTTAGGATAGAAAACAGAACTGCTGTTTTGGAAAGGGCACTAAAATAAAATCAGACATCAGGCGTTCTGGTCCAAGCTCTAGTTCCCCTCATTAGCTCTGTGCCCTTGAGCAAGGTTTTAAAATCTCTAAGCCTCAGTTTATATAGCTTTAAAATAAAGGTGATATTATCTGTATTGCTTCCCTCACAGCATTGCTGTGAGATTTATGAGAATGAGAACGTTTTGAAAACTGTCGTGGAAGCTGTTTTTTGGATCATCTTTCTTCTATGTTTTTCATGAAGAGGAAGGATGGTCCCCTGGGGAATAGAACAGACATTATCATGAAAGAATTTAAATTCATGAAGAGACAGGAAATGAAAACATGTATGTGTGCTACAGATACTGTACATCTTCTTTTAGTACTACTTAACATAAACTAATAACCATTTTAATATTGAGTTCTTAGTAAATTTGCAGGGGATGAATCAAATGAACTCAGTGGGTCTTGATAGAAGGATCATCCTCTCAAGGAAAGATTTTTAGCTGCAGAGCTCTGCCCTTTACTCTGTTCATTTCTTTTACTGTGATTTTAGTGAAGTCATTTAATGATGCTTTTGTATTTGTAGGTATATCTAAGTTGGCTGAATGATTAGATAAATTAGATGAAACTAATGTCTGTCCAATATTATTTGGAGTAGATTCACCATAATTAGCCATTTTCCTTACTAATCATCATTCAGATGTTATCAGGTTATTATTTTTTCATTTAAAATAATACAGTTGACCCTTTGACAGTGCAGGGATTAGGGGTGCCAACACCCCCACACAGTCAAAAATTCATGTAAAACTTTTGACTCTCCAAAAATATAACTATTAATACTCTACTGTTGACCTGAAGCCTTACCAGTAACATAGTTGATTAACACTTGTTTTGTTTGTTATAGGTACTGTATATAGTATTCTTACAATAAAGAAAACTACAGGAAAGAAAATGTTTTTTCAAATTATCAACAAATCTACAAAATACTTATCAATACATTTATTGAAAAAAGTCCATATATCAGTGGACCCACACAGCTCAAATCCATGTTGTTCCAGGGCAGCTGTACTCAGTTCTTGTCTGTTCAGTTTATGGTACTAAAACACTATGTTAAAAGCATACTAGGCAGTGGTAGAAATTCTTTCCTGAGAATTAGTTCTGATTTAGCTTTCCCTCTTCATCAGATCTTAGAGTCTCTGTGGATTGTTATGAGCCGGAACGTGAGCCTGCTTTTCACCACTGTCACTACTCTCCTGACCATCCTCTTCTACAGTGGGACTGCCCTTCTCAATTTTGTGCTGTCTCTGGTATGTACATATAGATAAGTACATGTCACATTTCCTTCTATAGTTAAAGCATATTCTCGGTTCCATCTGTGTTTCCTGTAGTTTCCCAATGTGATTTTTTAGGAGATACTGTCCTTTGTTTTGCAGATAATTTTCCTGACCACACTATTTTATCTGTTAAGTTCCAGTGATGAGTACTACAAGCCAGTGAAGTGGGTGATAAGCCTGACACCACTATCTCAGCCAGGGCCTTCTTCTAATATTATCGGCCAGTCTGTGGAAGAAGCGATCAGGTAGGGATAAGATTGATACTCTTCTTATTTCCTTCAGAAACTGCTTTCCACGAGAAGCCCATTTTCTGTCTTGAGTCTCCTAGTAACATTCAGTGCTGAACTAGTGATGGACAGTGGTATTTTCAAAATTTGTTGTCTCCTTTGGAGAGGATAATATGAGTAGTGCAAATATTGATAGGAAAAAATCTGAATAGTTTTAACATCCTACTTTCAATCTTGTGGTTTACAAATATTTAATGGCCTGTCTCCATCAGCTTTCCGTCTACAGGCTCTTGCTCTGGCTCCTATTATCATATCACTCGCTTGGGAGAACCCCACTCTTGCACCACACCTCCTCTCTGAATCCTCCTCCTGTTATCAGGAATGCTACTTTGCTCAGGGAGCGGAGTAGATGGCCTTTCTGTTTCTTCCTCTCTCTCTCTGCAACCAGGCTGTACCCAATGTAGAGAGTGGAAATGCAAAGATTTTGGTTATGTCCAAGTCATAGACTCTGTGCACATTACAAGTTCTGGCCGGAAACTTCCATCATATCTTCTGGGGTCCATGTAGTTCAGGCTTGGTTTCTGAATGAGACGACTCTTCAACTTCTATTGGCTCCTGCCCCTTTTTTCTTTTTCTCCGTCAATATTTCGAGTAGAGAAAGGTCTTTTGCAGTCTAGGTCTATCTTAGCTCCTTCCCCAACCCTTGTTCCTCATTGCTTTTAACTCATTAAGACTTTACCACATTTTTACTTCTTGAATAGCTATTCAAATTAAATCCTTATGTTACCATTAGAGCTTCCTTTTCAATAGTTGTTAGCCAGGTAGGTTTAAGCTTCTCTTGAATAGTGAATCTTAGGCATTTGTGTCCCACGTTCTTTTAAGAAATACCATTTCTTAGAACTACACTTCCACAGAAATCTTGATTTGACCTGGTAATTCTTTCTGACTGAACTTGGTTTTATTTTCACTGCATTCATGTAACAGTTGGTGAGGATACCACTCTGATGTTTGGGAAATCCTCAGTTACACTCAAATGCATACATGTTCATAAAATACATTCTTTCTGGAAGCTTTGGTATGTTTTCTCTCTTTTTGCTACTAGCAAGGCGTGGATAAAGTCATTATCACTATCTTGCTTCATGTATAAGCAATATCTTGTTTTACTAAACATCTAATGGAATTTTAAAATGCTCCTATTCCCTGTGGTGTCCTTGGGTATCCATGTGGGACCTTCCATGTAAAGATTCCAAGTTTGTGAGTTTATTGTCTAAGGTAACAGCTTTCAGGTTGAAGCTGTCTTCAGGGAAGACACTTACTGGCTTTAGCATCCCTTCTATGCCTATATGACCACTGGTTATCATATTTATTGAATAAATAAAATGATGTAAATTCTAGCAGTAGATTAACTTTAGTTTATCTAAATGACATCTGTGTGACTCAAAAAGTTTATGCAAATGCTCTACTAAAAAAGAAAAATAACTTTCTACCTTCCCGGTAGGATAAACTGAGTCAACCGTATCAAAAGCTGACGGACTCCTCTAGTCACTGTGACTTAAGCCAAGTCTTACAGAAAAAGACCTCATCTATAAAGAACTCTAAGAAAGATGATACTTTTCCTAACGTAACCTTTATTAGCACTGACTTTTATTCTCACAAAAGCTTTTCCATTTTCAAGTCGTAGTTCTTTAATTTTCTCTTCTACTTTATCTTAGAGTGAGCCACTTGATGACCATCTTCTAAATGTGTATTGAGTCACGTTTTTTTCATACCACATATGCCCCCTCTTTGTTTTAATGTCATGCTTAATTCTTTAATATCGTGGTTGCTAGGAACTGTAAGCAGAGCTGTGATTTGCACCTAGGTCCATCTATATCCTTCTGGTATACCATGATGCCTTCTAGGAGGAGCTGGTTGGGGCAGGAGATCATGAGTTAAATTTGCAGCACTGTTAAGACTATTCAAATGAACACAAGCAACTAGTAGCAAAAAATACAGGTCTTCAGCTCAGGAGGGAATTTGAGGTTCGAAAAAATGTGGTGATCTACAGAGATATGAGGAAGTATGTCTTTTTACAAATTAGATTTACCTTATCTTCTTAGGATTGTAAACACTAATTAGGCACTGTAACAGTAGTCCATGTCTTGGTTCTAAAATACACTGGTACAAAAACCATTCATTTTACCATCATTTTACTATTTTGTCAAAATGTTTTGACAACCTTTAGTGCCAGAACTATAATCCTAATGGTTCTCAAAACAGATTTTTGTGAGTCTGAAAGATACGGTACAGACTAGATAGCTTATAATAGCCTTGGCCATTTTTCTAGCCACAGCTGTATCAAATTATATAAATTAAAGATTATAATTGAAGGTGATTTTTAGCAGTCTAAGTGTTTTTTATCTATTTCTTTACTGGGTCAAATTCAAGACTTAAAATGTGCAGGTTTTACATAGATGCCTCCAAAGAACCATCTCATATATATGCATAAGATAGCAGTGAGTTCTAGTTCTAAGAGCCCTTGCCAGATTTTTCATTTTGAGGGATTGCATTCAAGATGGAATATATTTCTTCATGGAGAAAGATTTTAAGAGGAAAAACATTAACAAATAATTATGAAAATATTACAATGTCCTGAGTGGAGTTTAAGTCTGCAGATTATCAGTGATAACATATTTTATAAGCAGTCATTAATCACTATCAGTGTTGTGGTTAAGTGGATATCATTGAACTATTTTACATGATCCATTAGTAAGTTAAAAATAGGGTTGAAATAATTGCATGACCCAACAGTGAGTGTCTGTTTTCCAAGCTTTGTCTTTTGAGATATGTGGCTACTTTATGATCACTGTGTCATTGAATTCTGAGCCTTAGTTATTATTTTCAATTGTGAATAAGTGTTCTATATTGAATACATTTGTGATTGGGTTTCATTTCATGAATTTTTGAGTTAGTGGCATGCATCCCTTATCCCAAATCGTTTTCCTCCCCTTAGAGCATGTTGTGTCCTGAATGTGTGCATTACACCCTTCTTCCCCGATGCTCCCATTCTGCTTGCTCTGGTGGAGATATTGCACATTACTAAGTTGCATGTTGTCACGGCCTCAGTGCAATTTAGTGTGTGTGATATTTTCACATGAGTGCATGCACACGGGTATGGCTCTTGCTTGTAGGATTACAGCTTTTCAGTGCCAGTGGGTGGGAGTCATGAATTAGATGGCAGAATGTATGTACTGTGAGATTTTCATTTGGAAAGTGAACATGCTTCCCACCTGGACACCCCATTTTTTGAGAATTAAAAATATTTGGGTTAAAAAAACCCAGTCTTGATTATTTAGTAAATCATTATTTCCATTTTTTACTTTAAGCAAATTACATATTCATTAGAAATAAATTATCGTGGATTTAAGGTTATAAACATTATTTAAAATGTGTAAGGAAGAGTTTAAAACTGTAAGAAAATGTGTTTTCATTTATTTGAAGAGGTAACTCCTAACGTGGTAATAGAGAGCCAGAATCTCTTAGGCGTATCTGGGAAAATTTAATTAGCTATAACTCTTAACCAAGTCAGTACATATAATAACCTTTTTAACCTCCTTGATTAAAGATTGGTATAATAAACCCAAATCTTTAAGCTTCCAAGGGAAATTACTTTAACAAATGTTGTCTTGTATTTAGTTTTTCATTGTGATACTTTAAAAATTGCCAAATTAATTTCATTTTTAATAGCTTTAGAGTAGAACTACTGTTGGGATACAAATGTTTGCTGTGTGCCTGTATAATTGAAACAGCCCCGTGTTAATTTTTTATTTAGCATTACAGTAAGCACCCATGATCAGTAAGCACTGTCAAAGACAAAACCATGTATTATTTATTGATATAAAAATACTGAGTCAGTATTAGCATGGCCAAGGACTCCAGATGATTTAATATGATGCCACTATTGTTAGCTTCTCTGTGTGACTCCCTGTTATTTCCAGGGGCGGTGGAAGGTGTCCGTGGATGCGCTCCTTCTGCCCCTCAGCAGCATTTTAGATCTGTGTGCACAGTGTGACCATTCCTCTCTGGAATGGGGAATGTGGTGTCAGCCAGGCCTCTGTACATTTTACTGTGGAGCTGTGGGGTCTATGGGGCAGATGAACCAGGAAATGGAGGGAGAAAGAACATTTTAAGAGAGGTTAAATAATAATGAAGGGAGCTGGGGGATACTTTCCCCGATTGGTAATATTGTATGCCGTGTCTCTGGAAGTTGGCCTGTCCTCTACTAGCTCACCTTCTACTTGCGGCATAGCATATTGCAGTGAGGGTAGCATACTGGTAAGGTAATACCTGCTGTTGTTCCCTGGGAGATTGATAATCTGATAGTCTTCTGTTTGATCTTTGGAAAGAAGAGAGGGCAGACCCAGCATAAGGAAATGTTGAAAGTAGGCAGAATTTGACTTTGGACTCTTTACTCTCCTTTTCTCTCTTCTTCCTTTGGCTTATGCTTGCTGCTTGTCTGCTGTCTAGAGCTCTGTGTGGTGTGATGGTAGAGAGCTTCTTCACTCTGGTTTATCATTCTCCCAACCCCTCTCCTTGCTTCAAATCTTACTCCATTAAAAGCAGATCACTTGACCAAATCCTGAGTTGCCTAGCGGACACTCAGTTTAGAGTCAAGTTCACCAGTCCAATAGGTATGGAACATAGTCTTCCTTCACTCTAATTCAATCCTCTTTTGACTGGAAGAACATTTGCTTGTACTTGGTCTTCTGAGACCTCTCTTTTCAACTTCAAAATTATTGGTATTGTTCTCTAACTATATTTCCTGGTTTTCCAGCACTCCGCAGTGGAAGAGAATCAAATTCAGAAGAATCTGGAGACTCTTTTCCTTCCCTCTTTTGGCAGGACTGGTGAACTCAGTGTCTGTCACTTAGTTTAGAAAGTAACAAAAACAATATTTTGGTCAGAAATGAGAGAGGGTTGATAGCTGACAAAACCATTAGGAAACGTGTGAAAGAGTAACAGTTTCATCTTCGAGTTGA